ACTCCCCATGGAGATTCGGACCCTCACCTCCCTCCAGACCTTCCGCGCCGCCCTTAAAATCTGGCTGTCCCGGCTGGCCTGGGGTTAAGACTCTAACCCACACTCGAATTGTATGACTGTTGAGTTTTTAAATGATGTAGTGTCTCTATGTTGTAAATTGTTTGTCTTTCCCCTTCCCTTTTTGAACTGTGAGCCGCCCTGAGTCCCCCCAGGGAAAAGGGCGGCATACAAATAAAGTGACTAAATGACTAAATGACTAAACCAGAAGAGTAGCTGGCAACGGCGCGTTTCCCCCCAGAGAGGGCTCTGTGTGCCACCTCTGGCACCCATGCCAATAGGTTCGTCATCACGGCGGTAGGCCAAATAGCCACATTCCTGGAGGTTGTAGACAAACCACATCGGGGCTGGGTGAAATGCATGATCCCAGTGAAGCAGGTAGTGTACAGAGACGACTAACCATCCCAACCTCCAATCTCACCTTAGAATCTCCAAGGAAGCGCGTCAAACAAATGTACACGTCGTCCTTGACCTTGAAATGCTTGACAGCGTAGACGTCATCCATATCAGGAATGTCCGTGCGGCGCACGAACTGCTGCTTGTTCCACTGGTAGACGACAGGGCGCTGAGAGCTGCTGGCCAAGATGAGGTGCGGCTTGCCTGCAATCTCCAGGAATTCAGCATCCGTGTCACGATACCAAGAATGCAAGGACTGGTGGGAATAGAAGCCGTGGCCGTTCCAGCGGTACAAGGTGGTCGAGCCGGCCTTGGAACTGTCAGCCATGATGAAATACCAGTCTCCCTCCATTCGGAAGACCTCGATGTCATTGGGCTTGCGGATGCGTGAGCTCTCGATGACCTGGGTGTGCAGGAACTGCCCTGTAGCTTCGTGTCGCTTGTAGATGTGGGACCCTCTAAAGAGCTGAGCGACAACTACAAAGAGTTCTCCCTCAATCACCAAGGGCTTGCAGACCACGGTGGAAGAACCTGAGAAGGAGAAAGGTGGAGTCACTCAAATGTGATGCTGGAAGTCTTCTTACATTGCAGTTATCTATTTAATTGCCGTCACATTGTCTTAATTATGACATTGCCATTTGGATGACTAGAAGACCTCCAAGGTCCCTTCTAGCTCTGTTCTGATTGATTGATTGATTGATTGATTGGATTTGTACTGTTCCTCTCAATGCTTTGGAGCCAGCAAAGCATGTAGAAGGTCAGATAAGAATGTCATGTCCTCCAAGTACCGTATTTTCCGGATTATAAGATGCACATAAGACGCACCAAGATTTTGAAGAGGTAAATTTTAAAAGAAAGTTTTTGCACTCTGCAGGCCTCCCAAACCCTCTGCACACCTCATTTGTTTTGCAAAAAAAAAGGGGGGGGGGCATGGAGAGGCTTTAGGAGGCTTGTAGAGTGCTCCTGGGGGCTGGGGGCAGCAAAAATGAGCAAAACCGGCCCATATTTTGTTCTTTTTGGTCCTCCTCAGCTCCCAGGCGCACTTTGCAAGCCTCCTAAACCCTCTGCACGTCCATTTTTACAAAGGGTGTGCAGGCGGAATATAGCAAAAGTGCTATATTCAGTGTATAAGATGCACCCAGATTTTCACCTTCTTTTTTTGGGGGGGGAAAGGTGCGTCCTAAAAATACGGTAAATGGTTCTTGATACCCTACTCATATTCAAGACAATTCAGGAAGCGATCTATTTGTTTTCGAAGTGTGATAAGCCCTTCTAATAGTGTACTGTTATTTTTTCCCTGCCCAAATCTCAGTGGCAACGTGGGCCCCTCCCATTTTGCTATGAAATGGCAGTACTTGACAGCTGCAAAGAATCAGCGTGTAGCATAGAACAGTGGCCCTCAGCCTCTTGGGCATTGGGGACCAGCTCCACGGAGAGCGTTTTTCCATGTTGTTTTAATCCCGCAGATGGGGCTTCATCTGTTTGCAGGGACCAGTTGCTGGCATGCCACAGACCACTGCCAGTCCACGGACCAGGGGTTGGAGACCCCTGGCATAGAAGATTTATTCAAGCCTATACACGACAACCCGGTTAACTAAAGTTTAACACTAAACTGGCCTCAGATAAAGGTCAACAGAATTCAGGATGGGCTGGGTTTGGAGTGCCTGTGGGAATGCAAGGATTCTAATCTGATGACATGCTTAACTCCACCCTCCAGCTCCGACTTATTCATTATGGGGTGTAGCAGTGGTGGGTTTTAAAAAAATTTAGAACCTACTCTGTGGGTATGGCCTCCTTTGTGGGAGTGGCTTGCCAGCCATGTGACCTGGTGGGAGTGGCTTGCCAGCCATGTGTTTTCTTTCTCTCTCTCTCTCTCTCTCTCCTTCCTTTTGTCTCTCTGTC